ACCCAGCACCTACCATATTCGGATTAGCGCGCGGTTCAACGACAGTGTCTGCCGTTGGGACCTTCAGAGAGGAGGTTGCCTGCTCAGGGCGCGCTTCTGCCTGTCCATCTACGTTTGAGATCCCAGTAGGAGCAGCTGCAACTCCTATCGGCCATCCCTTTTTGGGTTCTGGATCTCCAGACAAAAGGGAATGATGTGGTTGGGGTCGCCACACTTAAGACACCTCTTCTCCGTTCTTTCTTGCCACAGATCCTGTGTCATGTTAATGGCATTCCATGGCTCCCCCTCTGCTCTACCCGGATGTCATGGGTGCCTGCAACCCCTACCTCAACCACCGTAGTTCGCAAGGGCATAATTGCCCCTTCCTCCTCCATAGGAGGCAGAACCATGACCGCCCTGCGGGGATCCTTGACCCCTACCTCCCGAATGGGAGCACCTTTGCCCCCATTCCCCTAAACGGTTGGTCCACGTCCTCCTCTTCTGCAGCCTCCTCTACCTCGGCCGCCTCTACCGCGCCGTCCCTCATGGTCCGCAACAGCCACATAGTCACCTCCCTGGGCTACCTGGCTGTCCTCCTCTCCATCTAGAATGTAATATATCTGTTCATACGGGAGTGCCTCTACTCCTCCTCCCTCGAGTGTCAACAGGAAATGGTCCCTGCTTTCTATGTTGCCGGAGATGGTCTTGCCCTTCCATCTCTTACATTCCTGTAGGTCCTTATAATAGTGGCAGAATTCAGCTTCTTGGAGGAAACCGGCTTGCTCCACAACATCCTTACTAAACTCCTAAGTCATGCCCTTCTTTGGTCTTGGGGTATAGCTGGGACCTAAGGGGACTAGGCAACACTCTAGCAAAGTTCTCCAAAATCTGTTTTTTGAAGCGAAACCATAGTCGGGACACTGTAGAAGCTCGTCCATGGTGGACTTAAACCACCAGTACACGGCCTCAGCCTTGCAGCAAAATAACTTGTCGCCACAAGAAGTAAAAGGCGGGCTCGGGGCAGGGACGGAGTGTCAGAAGGTTTTCAAATTTTTGGGCCCATCTCAAATCCGTACGTCCCAAAAGACAAAACAAGCTTTGGCCGTGAGTGCAGTTGGATACACTTCTTGGAGTACTCGTGCGAGTTTGCCTTCAGTGAGGGCACTTCAGCAGAACGTAGAACACGGGGAGCATGACTGTCGGACTCTAAAAAAAAGAACAAAAAAAAAAAAAGCCTTTGGCCGTGATTGCAGTTGGATACACTTTTTGGAGTACTCGTGCAAGTTTGCCCTCAGTGAGGGCACNAAAAAAAAAAAGCCTTTGGCCGTGATTGCAGTTGGATACACTTTTTGGAGTACTCGTGCAAGTTTGCCCTCAGTGAGGGCACTTCAGCAGAACGTTGAACACGGGGAGCAGGACTGTCGGACTCTCAAAAAAAGAACAAAAAAAAAAAAAGCCAACAACACTTTGGCCGTGAAAGAGGTTGGATGCATTTCAACATCGCTAGTGTGAGTATGCCCTCAGGGAGGGCGTTTTGAGCAAGAGGAAAATGCGCTGCCTTGCTGGCAGGGCCAGGAAGAGAAAAACAAAACGAGAAAAAAAGGAAAAACAGCAACGTTTCCCTCTCCCCGTAATAATGGTCAGATGCATTCAGGAAAGTGATCATTTGCGTATGGCCTCCATGACGTCCTTCCACGACATCACTGCTCTCTGGCATGTTTGTTCCCTTCTTTTCTTTTCTTTTCTTTTTTCTTTCAGGCAGACCGCCAGCACTAGTGCCACTTCCGAAATTCCCACTGCAGGTACCCTCACGCAGAAGGCTCGGAAAATAGTGGCGCGCAGTGGGCAGGTAGGTTTGGGATTTAGGTGCGGGTGTACTGGTGGTTTAAGGGCCGGCACACTCCTCCACTGATGTCTACCTATATTTTGCAGGTACTCAGCCCGCCGGGCCTGATTTTTGTCCTCGAATCGCTCTTTCAGGGCCCTAAAGGATGTCCGTATGTCAGTTTGTCATGAATACGCCACCATGGTTTTGCAGCCCGCACTTCTCATCAGGGACGAAAGCAAAATTTGCACCATCTCCCCCTAGGCACGAACTCGCCATTGGCACCTTATCAAAGTGGGGAATTAACTGCGCATACAAATACATATCCATGGCCACCTCCCACTGCACAAAACTTTCGCCCTTTGCCCCTCTGAAGGTCCAATGGATCTTTACCTTCATCTTCTCTCTTCTCTCTCCTTCAGGTTGTCTTATATCCCCCTTTCGGTCTCCTCCTTTTCTGTCACCATCTCCGTCATCTCCCCCATCTCCATTGCCAGGATCTCTTCCTCCTCCACCCTTCATCTGGGCTGCCACCTCTGTAAGTTTGGTTGCCTAGGATGTCTTCTAGCCGATGTGCATGGTGGGCAGCCCTCTGTTCTATTTAGTGGAGGTTTGCCACTATGTTAGTTATTCCACTTGCTCTTAAATTCCTCCTAGTGGCCTCTATCTTTTCTACGGTAATGCAGATCCTGGTGGGCCTCTATCATTTCTACGGTGATGCAGATCACGACATTCTCCTGAGCGGAAAGGAGGACTGCTTCGGCTACGAGGTCTAATCGGGTGTTAACATAGACTTCTCCTTTTTCTTTCTCCTTCAACTTCTGTCTGATCACTTCCCCCTCTTCCTTCAACCTATTTTCCTCTCCGAATTCCCTCGTCTGTGCCAACATCCTCATATTAATTGCACTCTCACACTCTTGTATTAGGAGGGGTCTCTCACGAGGGTCTGCAGCCTGCAACTTAGCTCGGAATGCTGCCAGCTCCTCCTCCATTTCATCAACCGGCCTCTTCTTGAGAAAGCCAAACTTTGCCAGCCACTCGTGTGCTTCATCCTGCTGTAGTTGGCTGCTCTCCCCCTCTTCATAGTGTCCCCCTTCTCTCCATTCGTCTTCTTCCTCTAGCACTTAGTTTCTTCTTCCTCCACAATATTCCTTGCCTCTTCTTCCATCTCCTTCTGCATCCTTTCTTCTTCCTCCACGATCTTCCTTGCCTCTTTTTCCATCTCCTTCTGCATCCTTTCTTCTTCCTCCACGATCTTCCTTGCCTCTTCTTCCATCTCCTTCTGCATCCTTTCTTCTCCCCCTCTTCATAGTGTCCCCCTTCTCTCCGCTCGTCTTCTTCCTCCAGCACTTAG